ACATTAAAATGCATTGCAATTTTGCAAGAATCCAGTCAGATAAAAAAAATACCCACTAAATACATTAAAATGGCCACCCATGGAGGAGGGGAGGGAACAGGAACAAAAAGAGGATAAAACTAGCTCATGAGCAAGCAGCCAGGGCACCTTTGTCCCCAGACACATCCGGGGGCCATTCTAGCTCCTGGCAGGCTGAGTCCCTGTGGGCAAGGTGCTGTCGCTCACTGAGGCCTGGCCACCTAGTTGGTTTGCCATGAGCCCCCAGGGTGCCAGCCCAGGACAGATCAATGCACCGTGCCTCATGGCTGTTGGCCCTGTTACCAAAGGCACCAGGATTCCATCAGATAGGATTCCACTGTGTGCCCCGGTCCAGGCAAAAGGCACTGTCATAGCTGTTTGTACACTGTATCACCACAGGAAACATTACCCAGAGGGAACCTCTGACTCCTCTACTCTGGGGTTAGGAGCCTGGACCCATGTCATCTCACCCGTGACCTTGGACAGGCTCCTCTGGGCCTCTGTCCCTGCTTCTCTGACCTGGGAGAACATGGTCCTCCCTTCTAGGGTTGCCTTCAAGGGCTCGCCCAGGGCCCGGCTGCAGTGTTGCTCGGGCAACGGGGGTTGGTTGGGTTCTCCAGGCTGACCCCCACACACCTCAGAGGGGAATCTGGCATCTGACGGGGAGGCCGAGGTGGAGACCCAGGCTCTAGGCTGTGCCAGCGTGGGCCTGGCTGGTCGGGAAGGACGGAGGGCTGTGCATGGACGGATGTGTCAGCTAGTACGCTCGGGCTTAGTCACGTGGCTTCCATCTGTCTCAGCCGCAGCCTGGCAGCTCCCTAGGGCGGGGATTGTGTCTGTTCACTGCTCTGTCCTGTTGCCCGGCTCACAGTAGGTGCTCAAGATAAGGTTTGAGTGAATGAGTGTCACATGTGCACGTGATTTGTGGTAGGCGTTTCAAACTGGTTTCTCATCATCGGTAAGTCTTCTAGAAGGGTCTCCTCAAGGTGCATTTCTAGGAACCCCTCAGGAGGGTGCGTGGAGAAGGGAGAGCAGGAGAGCGTCCTGGACTTAAATTAGAATATTGACTCTGTCCATTACTTTTTTTGTTCCAGGCGATAGCAGTTTCTGCCAAATCCTGTATGACCACACAGCCTCACCCCTGGTCCCTTCCAGCCCCCCTGCACCCCAGAGCCCAGAGGTGCCCCCAGCCCTCCCTAGCCTCTCCCACGAGGCCGCCCCAGTCCGGCCTTCTGGGGCCTCTGAGCCCTCACCTGCCATTGCCAAAGCCAAAGAGTTTGTGGCTGACATCTTCCGCAGGGCCAAAGAGGCCAAGGGTGGGACCTCGGAGGAAGCCCGGCTGCCCCCCTGTCCAGGGCCCTCAGGCAGCCGCTGCCGCCTGCCCGCTGAGCCCCTAGCCCCAGGCGGGGAGGCAGTGCCCCGGGATAGCCCCCCTGCAGCAGAGGCACCTGCCCCAGAGCCTGGCTATGTCAACTACACCAAGCTACATTACGTGCTGGAGTCTGGGGAAGGGACGGAGCCAGAGGACGGTGAGCGAGCGAGGCCCTGGCGGGAGGTGCAGCCCTTGGGCCTCCTGGCTACTGCTTCCCCTACCCCCGCCTCCTGCCTCCCCAGAGTTCGAGGACGACAAGATCTCCCTGCCTTTCGTGGTGACCGATCTCCGGGGCCGCAACCTTCGGCCCATGAGGGAGCGGACGGCCTTCCAGGTTGGTGCTGGGCAGAGGACAGGCCGAGGGGTGGCCCTCAGTGAGCCTGCTGGAGTGGAAGTTGGCATAGTCCTCCCCTGCCTCCTGCTCACCTGCCCACAGGGTCAGTACCTGACGGTGGAGCAGCTCACGCTGGACTTCGAGTACGTCATCAATGAGGTCATCCGCCACGATGCCACCTGGGGCCACCAGTTTTGCTCCTTTAGCGACTATGACATCGTCATCCTGGAGGTGGGCCCAGGAATGGGACAGAGCAGGTCCAGGACCTCCCTGCTCTGGGGGTCACCCTCAATGGCTGTCACTATCTAACTTCCTTGCAGGTATGCCCAGAAACTAACCAGGTCCTCATCAACATTGGCCTGCTGCTGCTGGCATTCCCATCCCCCACTGAGGAGGGTCAGCTCCGGTGAGTGGGCAGGGACCCCTCCCCTAGGAGGGGCCATATCAGTGCGGGAGAGCGGGGATGGGAGAAGACCTCCCCCCTAAAACCTGGGTCTGCCACTTTGTTATTGCTTCAGAGACTAGGGTACCCCCAGGGTAGCCTGGTTTCTCCAGAGACCTAGTGAGCTCACCCGCTTCCTCTGCATCCCTTGCAGACCAAAGACCTATCATACCAGCCTTAAGGTGGCGTGGGACCTCAACACGGGCATCTTTGTGACGGTCAGCGTGGGCGACCTCACTGAGGTCAAAGGGCAGACCAGGTGAGGCAGGGCCAGGTGGGACCAGTGTGGGAATGGTGGGCTGGGAGAGAGCTTCTCACCTCCTCACCCCTCAGCGGCAGCGTCTGGAGCTCGTACCGCAAGAGCTGTGTGGACATGGTGATGAAGTGGCTGGTGCCCGAGAGCAGCGGCCGCTACGTCAACAGGATGACCAATGAGGCGCTGCACAAAGGTGGGCCTGGGGACCGAGGACAGTCAGGACCAAGGTCCTCAACTGGCATGGGCCATGTTCTCACCCCAACGCTAGGCCAGGCCACAGCAGGCCTGAGTCATAACTGTTGGCTGAATGAATGGTACACTGGATGTGCCGGGGGTATCATGGAATCTGGGGTGCGGCGAGGGTAGCCTCTACCAGACTTAGCTGACGGGCCACTCAGAGGGCCTGGCAGGGGTGGGACCTGAAGCCCTGGCCAGTCATTCATTCATTCAACAGACATTGGGTGGCTGCAGGTATGACTCAGAGGTGCACTCAGTCTTCTAGTCCCTGCCTTCTGGAACCTTCTGGGCTTGGAGGGCTGGCCTGCAGTAGCCTCATGGCTCTGTGCCCCCACCTCCCTGCAGGATGCTCTTTGAAGGTCCTGGCGGACAGCGAGCGATATACGTGGATCGTGCTGTGAGGGCCCTGCCGCCCTGGACACTGACTCCAACTACCTCCGCAGCCTGGGAGCTGGCCGCTTCCTGGGCTGGCCTCTTCCCGGCCGTGGGCCAGCTGACCGACGACCGGCACTAGTGTTAGGCTGCGGGAGGTGGCTGGGCGGGGGCAGTCCCGGTGGTCTGAGAGTCTGGACGCTTCTTATTTATGCCTATTTAAGTTGGGAAGGGGCAGAGGGAGGGAGCCCCCTGCCCCACCAGCCGCGAGTGTCCCATCTCCACCCTAGTTGGGCTCAGCCGGTTCCTTGCGCGTTTGCCCCTTTCCTCACCGCAGGAGGTGTGGACATTGCCCTTGGGGAGGCTGAAGAACCCCGGTGCCCTGCCCTGCCCACCCTAGCCTCCCCCACCTGGTGGTGAGAAACCTCGTGGCCATCCCCCTTTTGATTCCTCTTCATGTAATAAATGTTTTATTTCTGAACCTCGTCGAGGTCCCCTCACTGCTGCTCAGGCCCATCATGAGCCCCCAGCTCCCCACCAAGTCCCAGCAAGTCAGCAGTAGCCAAATAACACAGCAGAATTTATTGTGTTTTAAGAAAGACTACAAAAAGGTAGAAAACAGCTCGGCACACTAGACTACCACACGTGTGGACACTTTCACCGCCAGGAGAGGGTGGCCCATGGGCATCAGGGTGGGCAGGGCCGGTCCCAAAAGCTGTAGCACGCGGAGCACACAAAATAGTGATTTTTGTACAATAGGTCAGTTTTGTTTTTTTTTTTTTCCTTTTTTGCCATAAACATCTATCGCACAGATTGAAAACACTGAGAAAACCAGAACAGATAAGGCCATGATGGTTGGAAAAAAACCCAACAAGTTACCAACTCCGCTTGGTGGCGCTCACAAATCGCACGATAGTTATGTGGTTCAGAGGGTCGGGGTCACGTCACGGAGGAAAAGCACAGTCTCCGGGAAGAGCAGGAGCGCGGAGAAGGTTCTATTACAAACCAGCGGCGGGGAGGTGGGCTCTGGGAGGGGGCCCAGGCAGGCACCGGGCATGTCCGGCCCCACTGCCCACAGCAGGTCCCCCGGCTGGTCGGGCTGGGCCGCCCGATGCTCTTTGGAAGCTGGAGGCCAGGCCCCGCGCCGCCCTCCCCCAGCCAGGCCAGGCAGTGCCCCACCCCTCGGGCTGAGGAGCAAGGGAGGGCCCAACTCTGGAGAAGATGCGACGCCCACGGCTTTAATTGCACTTATACCAATGGGGAGGGGGAGCAGTGGGGCTGCTAGGGGAGGGCTCCCGGGACTGCTGCCGACAGTGGGGGTCCCTAGGTGACACCCACCTCGCCCGCCTGGGGCTCAGGCTGGGCCCAGGACAGACTGTGCAAAGCCAGCTAGCTGAATAAGTTAACGGTTCCGCAGGGGAGGGGCCTGCCTGCCCCCTTGGGGGGCGGGCGGGCGTGGGTGGGGAGGGAAATGCTGCGGCCTTCTGGGCCAAGGGGCCGAGCTGGCTGCCCCAAGGGGCACCTGGGCACGGCGGCAGGTTCCTTAAGGCACATCTTTTGTGTCAGAGTTTGCAGCTGCGGCTCCGCCGGGCCTGTGATTGTGCCGACCCCGGCCAGGGGCAGGGCCCCCTGCCTTCCGTGTCTCGGAGGACCCTCCCTGCCCAGGCTGAGGCTGGAGCGGTGACCGCGAAGCCACAGAAACTGGGACCCTGGCATTGGGGACGGCAGGGGCG